CCGTTATCAATTTCGGATATTATTTTTCCTCTTTTATTTCGCATTCTCACTAATCTGGTTACAGGGAAATTACTTGTACTTGGTTTATTTTCCAACAACTGGTATCAGAGCTTTTGGTTGTGAATTTTGTCTTTTTTTGTGAGGTTACTATTCATATGAATAGTGAATTTTGTGAATAGTAAAATTTGGTCGGCGATACGAATTTGTTGACGAACGTGTTCTAATACACGATGCTTCGCAAGAATTGTCAGGAACGATTCAAAAGAAGCCAGATTCGAGTGGGAGCGATGACTGCAGACGAAGGGAAGGTGAAAATTGAGAAGTTCGATGGTGCGAATTTTGGCTTTTGGAAGATGCAGATTGAAGATTTTCTATACCAAAAAAATCTATATCAACCTCTCTCAGGAAAGCAACCAGAGGGCATGAAGAATGAAGACTGAGCTCTTCTCGACAGACAAGCCCTCGGACTTATCTGACTGACATTATCCCGTAATGTTGCTTTCAACATACCAAAGGAAAAGACCACGACGGATCTTATGGCGGCTCTATCAAGTATGTATGAGAAGCCATCGACCTCAAACAAAGTTCGCTTGATGAGGCTATTATTTAATTTGCAGATGGCGGAAGGGGCATCAGTGGCTCAACACCTAAATGAACTCAACACAATCACAACCCACTTGAGTTCCGTGAAAATTGAATTCGATGATGAAGTTCGAGCTTTAATTCTCTTATAATCTCTACCAGAGAGTTGGAATGCTACTGTTACAGTAGTCAGCAATTCGTCGGGAAACAGGAAATTAAAATTTGACGATGTTCGGGATCTGGTATTGAGTGAAGAAATTCGACGGAGAGAATCAGATAAAGCATCAAGCTCCTCAGCCTTGCATACGGAGTTTAGAGGGATAACTTCAGAAAGAAATTCAAATCGTGGCAGATCAAAATCCAGAAGGGAAAAATCAAGAACGGGAAAGAAAGATTTTACCTGTTATAATTGTGGCAAGAAATGTCACTTTAAAAGAGATTATCGAGCACTGAAGAAAGATATCGACGCACATGAATCTACCAACATGACAGAGGAGACAGGTGATGTCATGATTCTAAGCATCAACAGTCTGATTGAATCATGGATCTTGGATTTAGGGGCATCTTTCCACTCCACCTCATGCCAAGAAATCATGGAGAATTATGTTAGTGGCGATTTTGGGAAGGTTAATCTAGCTGATGATGAAACCTTGAAGATCGTCGAAAAAGGAGACATCCGATTAAAGTTTCCAAACAAGACCATCTGAAAGATGAAAGGAGTGAGACATATTCCTGGCCTCAAAAGAAATTTGATTTCTATAGGACAGCTTGATGGAGAAGAATATAATACAACCTTTTCAGGCTGTGAATGGAATATTACCAAAGGAGCACTCATCATTGCTCGTGGTAAAAGGACTGATACTCTCTATGTAACCTCAAATTTAGAGAATATCATTGCAGTAACGATGCTGATGGAAAATCAAACCTATAGCACCAAAGGCTTGGCCATATGAGCGAGAAAGGGATGAAGACACTTTTGTCAAAAGGGAAGCTGCCGGATCTAAAGAGTGTAGATGTCGGACTATGTGAGGATTGCATCTTTGGCAAACAAAAGAAATTCAATTTTACAAAGATTGGCAAGACACCCAAGGTAGGAAAGTTAGAGTTGGTTCATACTGAAGTATGAGGACTATCTCCAGTCTCATCTCTTGTAGGCTCACTATATTATGCTACCTTCATCGATGATTCTACGAGGAAGGTGTGGGTTTATTTTTTGAAGAAGAAATCAGAAGTCTTTGATACCTTCAGAAAATGGAAGGTCATGGTAGAAAATGAGACTAGTTTGAAAGTCAAGCGGTTGAGGTCTGATAATGGAGGAGAGTACAGAAATAGTAGATTCAGAGAATTTTGCGCAAACAATGGGATCAAGATGGAGACAACGGTTCCCATGACACCGTAGCAGAATGTTGTAGCAGAGCACATGAACAGAACTCTGAATGAATGTGCTAGAAGCATGAGGATACATGCCAGATTGCCCAAATTGCTATGGGCTGAATCTATCAATACTGCAGCTTACCTGATCAACCGTGGGCCCTCAGTTCCCTTGGATGGTGGAATACCGGAGGAAGTTTGAAGCAAGAAAGAAATAAACCTTTCACACTTAAGAGTGTTTGGTTGTATTTCTTATGTACTCATAGATTCTACTGAAAGAAGTAAACTTGATGCCAAGTCCAACAAATGTGTCTTTGTTGGTTATGGTGGTGATGAGTTCGGTTACCAGTTTTGGGACTATGAAAATCGAAAAATCATCAGAAGCAGAGATGTCATTTTCAATGAGATGTACAATGACAGTTCAACCATAGAATCAAGTAGCTCCAATACCAAAGCTGAAACAAAGGAATTTGCTGAGTTCGAGGAGATTTCTGGAAATGATGTTCAGATCAGTCCTGAAGCAGTTCAAGAAGAACCATGAACACCAGAACTAAGACGCTCCTCCAGAATTCCTAAACCAACACATCGTTATTTGCCTTCTTTGAACTACTTGTTGCTCACTGACAATGGTGAACCAGAGTGCTATGATGAAGCAATGCATGTGGAGGATTCAGTCAAGTGGGAGTCTTCTATGAAAGATGAGATTGACTCGCTTATGTCAAATCAGACCTGGGAATTAATTGAATTAACATCAGGCAAGAAAGCGCTCCATAACAAGTGGATTTACAGGATCAAAGAAGAACACGACGGGAGCAAAAGCTACAAAGCAAGATTGATTGTAAAAGGTTTTAAGCAAAAAGAAGGTATTGACTACAATGAAATTTTCTCTCCAGTCGTGAAGCTGTCTACTATTAGTCTGATGTTGAAAATTGTAGCTGTAGAAAATCTACATCTTGAGCAGTTAGATGTGAAGACAGCTTTCCTTCATGGTGATTTGGAGGAAGAAATCTATATGAGGCAGCCAGAAGGCTTCATAGAGACATGCAAGAAAAATCTGGTATGCAGGTTGAAGAAGAGCTTGTATGGTTAAAAACAAGCTCCTAGACAGTGGTATAAAAAGTTCGATAGTTTCATGAGTAGCAGTGGTTTTACCAGATGCCAAGAAGATCATTGTTGCTACATCAAGAAGTTTGACAGCAGCTTCATTATTTTATTGTTGTACGTTGATGGCATGCTTGTTGCAGGCTCAGACATGCAAGAGATTATAAAATTGAAGCAAAAATTGTTGGAACAGTTTGCAATGAAAGATTTTGGCGTTGTAAAGAAGATTCTTGGGATGAGGATTATGAGACACTATGGTTTGTGTCATATCAATTTCTACACAGATTTTGTGGAATGACGTGTAAAGTCAAAAAAAGGAGGGGCACCGCCTGTGGAAATTCAAGGTAGGCACCGGATTGTTGAAAATTCAACAATGTTAGGCACCGAATGGTGCTTATTTTAAAAGTTGAAAATTTTATGTTGAAAATGGTAATGGGTAAATTGCACTTTAGTCATTGCACTTTAGGGTATTTTCAAAGATTAGTCCCTAAGCTTCAACTATAAATATCCTTACCCATTTAGCTTCAAAATCATCCCAAATCATTTCTTCCTCCCAATACTAGAGAGTTTTCTTGTGAGTTTTGAGTGTTTGTAAACACCCGTAAATTTTCTCTTTAGTAAAAGATCTGCAGCAGTCCGGAGACGTAAGCAAAATTGACTGAACCCCGTTATCAATTTCGGGTATTATTTTTCTGTTTTTATTTCGCATTCTCACTAATCTGGTTATAGGAAAATTACTCGTACTTGGTTTATTTCCCAACATGGTGATCTTACTGATTCATTTAAACCTTCAAGGGGCCTCCGACAAGGGGATCCTTTATCCCCTCATCTCTGTCTTATGTATGGAGAGGCTTTCACAAATGATTGAGGAAAAAATGGTTCTGGTCATTGGAAACCAATTCACCTTTCTAGAAATGGCTCGGGTCTTTCACATCTTTTTTTGGCCAATGATCTGGTATTGTTCACCGAGGCGGATTTGATTAATTTAGCTACCATGAAGGATGTGCTTGATGGTTTTTTGTTGTGACTCAGGTCATCGTATTAGTGTTTCGAAAACTCAAATATACTTTTTGTACAGGTTAACAATATTCCATAACAGAGTTGACAAGGCCACATAGGCTTATATTCTTGATAAAATGAACCGACGGTTATCAGTTTTGGTGGCGAGAACATTATCCCTAACGAGTCGTATCACTCTTGCGAAGGCTTTTCTTCAAGCTATCCTGGGGTATGTCATGCAGTCTTCTTGGATCCCAAAATGTTTATGCGACGATATGGAGAAGTTTATCGTCGATTTATTTGGGGGTCGTGTAATAACAGCACCACTCTCTCTCTCGTAAAATGGGACAACATGAGACAACCGATTGTTAGTGGAGGTATGGGTATGAGGAAATTTTTCCATTAGAATAAGGCTTTCTTGATGAAAATTGCATTTCAACTTGCTACTAAGCCGAACAATTTATGGGTTAGAATTATCCGGGCCAAGTATAAATGGGAGAACCCTTTACCTTTCCCGCTTCAAAGTGGTAATGTTTCTCGGCTTTGGAAGGGTCTTCAATGCATTTGGAGAAATTTCTACGAAAATATATCATGGAATATCCGTGATGGTAAAAGCACGAATTTTTGGTGCGATCACTGGTTAAAAGACGAGGAGAGGCTGGTTTTCTCTTACACGGGATCAAGTTCTCCCTCTCCAACTCCATTTTGTGACATGGTGGTCCATCCAGGTTCGTGGGTCTGGAGGAAACTTTCATCTTTACACCCGGATTATGCGCTTCAGCGCATTGCAACTGTTCATCCGCCTAAAGAGTAACTCAGGCTGGATACACCTGGATGGCGTAGGGAATCTGACAAACGCTTCATAACAAAATCTGCTTATAACTCCATCACTAACATAAAGGATGGCGATAACCAGGTTAAATGAGATTTAATTTGGAAGCTGACTAATGGTGAGCGTTCTGGACGACATCTCTCCTATTCTCGAGACTGTAACATTTGTGGAAGAGCTGCTGAGGACATCGATCACGTTCTTCGCCACTTCATTTTGGCTAGAGCTACTTGGCCGAGGGTTATTCGAACAGATAGGCTTGCTGAGTTTTTTTTCAATGCCATATCGTGAATGGATTGAGATCAATCTACACTCCCCAGGTACGTTTGCTATAAATGTCGATCACGTTCTTCGTCACTTCATTTTGGCTAGAGCTACTTGACCGAGGGTTATTCGAACAGATAGGCTTGCTGAGTTTGTTTTTTCAATGCCATATCGTGAATGGATTGAGATCAATCTACGCTCCCCAGGTACGTTTGCTATCAATGTCGAGAACTGGGAAATACTTTGCTGTTTTTTGCTGGCATTTACAGAAAGCATCGGTGTAGCGTTATTTTTTTATCTGGAGTATGTGGAGAAGGACATTTTTAATTCGTTGTAATCGGTTCACTACTGAAATTATTAGAGCAAATGAGCAAAATGCAGGTATAAACTGGCAGGTTGTGCAACTTCCTTTGAATTTGCTTTGACTACCTACTGGATGGATTAAAGCAAACACGGATGGAGCAATCCATCCTACTGATAACACTACGGCTACTGATACAAACTTTTTCTTTGATTGGTTGAATGCGGATCCTAAAATTATCTGCGAGTGATCCCCTTTTAAATACAATACCTATGCTTCAAAATTAAAAATAAAAACTGTCACATCTTAATTTAGGGGTTAAATTTGTTCTTAATGTGCATTCATGAAATAAATTAGCGCATTACTAAAATTCTGAGTCAATTTGTAATATTGAGGAAATTCAATGGCCCCAAGTCTGATTTCCCCTTTATTTGCTTACTGCAAAATGGGAAAAAGAGAGCAAATAATGAGTTTAAGGTTAGCAAGGCTCGGTTCGAGGGGTTGGAGTCCAAAAGAGGAGTGCATACTTTGGTTCGAGTACAAAGGTCGCCGGTTTCCAAAGCTGTCAAAAGGTATAAAGCCTAGATCTAGGATTATTGGGTGATTTTTTTTAGGTTAAATAGGTTGGAGTTTCGGGTTTAGGAGACCGAAAGGAGTATTTCAGGGGCTTTTGTCCTCTCCGACCATCGTGAACCACCGTGGGAGCTGCCGTGAGAACCGCCAGTAAGCGACAGTTCTCCCTTCCCCGTTGAGGGAGTTGAGAGAGTTTGAAAACTCTGTCTCTCTTCCCTCGATTTGAAAACAAAGCCAATGGGAATTTTGGCTGAATTTTGGCCTTATATACCATATGCAAAACGATGTAGTTTTAGTAGGGGCAGATCTGTAATTTAGCTCATGGGTTATTAACTGGATAGGTCCTCCGTAGTTGTAACCTTTATATTTCGATCATGAATGAATTTTTTACTCATTCCTGTTTTGATTTTCTACATTGTTATACAATACAACTTCATCCTTGTTTGCCTATTCATTTTTTTATGTTTATATTCATACTCGAGCCATCATATTTTAGTCCATTCCACGTTTAAGCAACAAAAGTTGTGATTGCTTCGTTTAAGTCACCTTTTTCATGTAGGTGTATATTTTGTTAATGTTCCTGTTTGTCCCATAACAATTTATTTTTTTATATTTTAGTCCTGCATATTTTTTTTATTTATTGTTATCCCAGCACACTTATTATGTTATATTTGTATTTTGGCTATATTTTTGATATGTTCACTATTGTGCTTGTAGTTATTGTTGTTCTTATATTTTAATCCTTTTTACTAAGCATAATTAGTTTTTATTTTAACCCATTATATTTGTAGATGTGTATTTTATTTTGAATTTGTACTTTGGTTTATTAACAGTTTTTTTACTACTTACATTTTCATGTATATATGTATGTGTATATATAAATTGAATGAATATTATTAGTCACCTTCGTACCATAAATGTATTTTATTCGAATGCTTTTAATAACTTTTGTCGTAGAATGGGTGTGAAAAGTACCACCTTACGGAGGAGGTGTGATTCAATACAACATTCGAATGAAAGGCGAATTTGAAATAAATCGAATTTATTTTACTAATTAACGTGTTTTTATTCAAAAGACACAATGTATGTTTCTAAGTATCATTTTATTTTATTTTATGCAAATGTCGATTTTAAATTTATATTCGAGTTACGTTTTTAATAACATTGGTGAGGGGGAATATTTCTTGTATAAAGGAGAAATAGATGAGATAGCCTTCCCACTAGAGGATGTGCAAATCTCTTGATTTCTTCTTGAATTAAGGAATGTTCCCTAACGAATAATTCAAAGCAAATTAATTAACTTTAATAAATGGATCATACTTTAATTATCGATGCAAATTCATGATTTCCACCATGACGACAAAGTATAAGCGACTAAGTACCAATTTTGGGCACTGTGGGGGTGTTAATCTTTCCCCACGCGTAATCGACTCTCGAAACTGTTAAATCGAATTTTTGGTAAACATATATCAATTTTTGTCTTAGAAAATGATTTTTCTTAAAATTGTTTTAAAAGACATTTTTAGGTATTCAACCTACCTAACCCAAAAGGTTGATGGTGACTCCCTACTCAATTTAATTCAAATCAATTCTAAATTGACAAATTTTCAAACAAGTTCATAATTATTTTTTAATTGTTTTCAAAAAATGGTTATGACAGCTTGGCGACTCTGTTGGGGACATTGTTTAGAGAGTCAGACAGTAAGTCGCTTATACATTGTCGTTGTGGTGGAAATCATGAGTTCGAGTCTTTAGTTAACTTATGATCCTTTTATTGAAGTTTTAATTTCTTCATTTTTAATTTTCATACTAACATTTTAATTTTTTCTTTCAGCTCTGTCCAAGTTGTTATTGAGAGTTTTTACTTTTTCATTTTTTGAGTCAAAGGTTTGTATGTTCCTCCTCACGCACATCACGTGCATTTGCATGACATGAGCTCTAGACCTGAGCTTCATTCCAAATAAGTCAGAGTGAATGCTTTATTCTCATAAGAATTTATTTTTTGTATGAGTTTTAGCAAATAACCCCTGGGATACATGCCTTATACCTTCGTAGGGATTTATTCCTCGTTTGGGTATAAGGAAGTGAATCCCTCAAATTGAACTCGATTTGTTTACGCCATCAATGGGTGTGGATTGAGTGTTTGACAACCCAAGGGGGCACCGACATCAAGGACAATTCAAGTACCCTTTCCTCATAGAGTTGAAACCATGCATATAGTGAACCGTAGAATGTTCATCCTAGGTATAGGGATACCGAACCTCTATCCGTCAGTAGGTACCCAAAATAAGTATACAAAAAGGAGGAGCGTTTCTAAAACTTGACCTTTTTCTTTAAAACTAGATATCGTTCGATTATGATCAATTTCTTGAAAATAAAATCATTTGGGTAAAAAGCATGTATGGGTAGGATTGCTATCTAAAAAAAAGCATGCTCGGGTAGATATCATGATTGGGTAGGTGTTGTATTTATCTTTAAATATCATTTTTAATTTTATTGATTATCTTGCCCGTACTAACTTATTTCTTTTCTTTTGTTCGTGTCATTTTTCATCCTTTTTGCATTTCATTTCATTAACATAACATAATGCGAAAGTGTTGATCCGCAAGGGGATATTCGAGTGAAAATTTTCACAAGAAGAGGTAAAAGTTTTCAATCAAGAAGTCGCATATACAGACATGCACCGATGGCTAAAATAAGTTCAGAGAGTCCAATAATGAGACTTGCTGAAAGATCGTGCAACATTCGAGACTGGAATGATGATCCAGTGATCCGAGGAGTATTCCAACATTAAAGTTTATCTATGATCATGTCATCACTAGTCATCAAGGAGCGACACACTGACTTTATCACCTTAGGGGCATTAACGAAGTTAGGTTACAGAGTGCATGAGGGGCATCATTTTCAAGGACGAAGATCCGAGATGAAGCATTAACCCACTTCAGACTCAATCTAAGCGAAAACATGTTTGTAAAATGAACTGTCTTGTAATGTGAAGGCTTTTATCTCTGGTGAAAATTATTCTATGATATCCATCGCTAGGATCAATATTTTTTGCATTTGCACTTGCATATTTACATTCTGCACTGCATTTATTTAAACATTTTCACAAGCATCATTCATAAGCACAAGAGGATTAATTCATGGAGAATTCAATGGAAGTGATCCTGATCATATGACACCATATTAAGAATGGAAGTAAGATTCGAACAAGTAAAAGAAGAAGCTGAAATCAGTATAGTGGGAGCCTACTCAGCCAGTCGTAGGGCTAAGCCTTCTAGGATGATCCGAGAAAAGAGTCTCCGCATCCTTAGGTCTATGATGTTGATGTTGATGTTGATGTTGATGTTGATGTCGTATGCAGTTACCATATAGGAAGCTTCAGACATTCCGCTGAGAACTGTGGGGCATTGAAGCAAGGTCCATAATCTGATTGATTTAGGGGCATAGACATTCGATGTGTAATGGGGCATTCTGATCAGGAGTAGGCTGTGACATCCATCAGGAATTTTGTTGCACTCTTATCAAAAGCATGTCATCTTGTTTGAACTTGTTTTTCTTCCTATGTTTGAATGTTTGTAAGTCATTTGACGTTCGAACATTTCCTTCTGAGGTAATAAGAAATGAGCAAATTTTAATCTTGAAATTCTTTTAATATCAATTCAATTAAAATCTCTTTAATAATTGAGGTTGTAAATCTTTGACAAATGACAAGATTAAACCCAACAAAACAATAACCCCTAGTCCTACTCCAGATGATACACCAAAATACATACTCTTCTCTTGCAGGGACCAAGCTAGTTTTTCATTGCATGCAGAGTCAATCAATGGCTTGGCATTCAGGTATGTGCCCGGAGCGGACAAAATGGGGCATCTTGCACATGAGATTGCAAAGCTTATTGGTTTCTACTTCTATTGACGATGTTCAATGATGATCATGATCTTCACAGATGGAATGGTAAAGTAGGTGCATCTAGTTTAGGTTTGTTTCTTGGGAATTGAACTCTAACGATGAGATTTTTTGACCTTCAACAAACACCTAGACTATAATAGGTTCTTCTTGACGAGCTTAAGAAATTGAATCCGTATACCCAGAATATAATTATATGTATACAATAAAGTTGAGCTATTCCACTAAACCAATTGGTTATAGAGGAAACTCGAAAGCCCTGGATTTATGAATAGATTACATTCAAAACATGACATTGATCGGGTACTTGGCAATTCGGTGTTTGCTCCATTGTGATTGTCAAGTCGAAGACTTTGTGACGACATGAATCCTTAAACTAGCCAGATAAAGACAATTATAAAATATATATGTATAATAAATCTGACTTCAGCTAGCCAAACAATGGAAAATTAAATCGAATTTACTAAATAAGGAGTTTCGGTGAATATGGACTAATGGAGTTTAGAAACACCTGTTATAGTCGATTTCACACGAGCACTCAGAAATCTCATTTTTAGACCGATATTTCTGCACTGCCTTTTCTAGAGGAGTCTATGAAGCTTGAAAAAATTGAAGATTTAAGAGAACTGATATAAAAGTGTTCTAGAAAGTATAACAATTGACTATGCTAGTTGCGTCGTTTTGTCCGCCTCCGATCAAAATGCCAAGCCAAGAAAGAGGGGCATGCCATGATTTTTACAATGTACGAGAAAGTGAACAAGGACGAATCGATGAAATAAACCTCAAAATGTAGGTGCCCAACCTCAAAACCAATATGTCGATCTTGATATTTGTCAAAGATTTGCAGCTATGAAAGATTAAAAGAGTAATTAATTCTTTTGTTATTCAATGAACTCAAGTTTTATGATTTGCTCCAATTGTGAAGCTGAAGATGAGACTTTATTTTAGTTCATTGGACAATAAAAAAATTCACATTTTCTTTCTTCATCAAGTTTTTTTCAAAGGACGAAAAACATTTTCAAACAAGATAATCTCTCTAGAAGCACATCTTGGAATTCAACAAATATCTCTCAGAAGTTCGTGATCAAAGCTGGGGCAAGGGAAACCAAATTTTGGGGGTAAAATTTTGATAGGGCAAGGAAAAAATTGTTGTCGAAATGATTTTTTCTTATGGGGTGCGAGATTTGAAAACCACGTCATTTTTAATTATTCTCTTTACGATTGAATTTTTAATTAAAAACAATGTGATTTTAGAAAACCTCTCATTTCGAAAATTTGGGAAATCATTCACGATAAAATCACAGGTTCGAAGAGTCGCCACCAATCTTTGATTAGGGTGTGATTGGGCTCCCAAAAATATTTTGCCATTTTAAATAAAAATTAGTTTTAATTAAAACGACAAATAGATGTTTGCATTACCAAAATTCGAGCTCGGGAGTCGGTTACGCGTGGGGAAGGATTAACACCCCCACGGCGCCATAAATCGGTACCTCGTCGATTAATTAATGTCTTTGCAATGAAATTTACAAATTCAATTTTAATTTGATTTATGATCCCCAACAAATTCTAACACAGGAATTTCACCATATTCAAAAGCAACAAGATTGATTAAGTTAAAATTTATCCAGCCTTAGAGAGATAAAAAATGTTCGTTTAGTTAAAAATGTCGAGACCAAATCTTAAATCGTTATAACAACCTTTTCTCGATAAATGTAAATAGTCGAACATTTCTTTTTCTCCCGTTCCCAAATTTTAAAGTGATGAATCAATTTCTTAGGTGTCAGTGATGGGATACACTTTTATTTTAAAATCGTTAGAAGCAGATATCTAATAAGTTAAGACAACCCACTTAAAACAATTTTAAAATAAAAGGGTATTACCCTTAATCCAATTATGTGATAAAGGTTAAGTTATGCACATGAGGCTAACATGCATTTCATATAAAAATGATGTCATGTGATTTGCTATTGAATTATTTGAATACTCATACATATGTAAACACATCACCATGCGAAATAAATATAAACCATTAATTTAAGAAAACCAACCTAACAACGGACTAGGTTTAACTAATTTTAAACTTAAAGAATTACTCTAAAAAGCTCTAAATTATGACGAAAGTATTTACAATCTAAATTTATGGACTAAAATAAATTAACATAATTATTAATATGGAAATTAAGCAAAATCCCTAAACATGCATTGGATTGCAATAAAAATTTTCCAAAATAACAAACCAAATGTTAAAAATACAAAAAGATTAACTTGACTAAAAAAGCAGGGACTAAGATAAATCATGTGAAACCTCAATGGTTCAATCACACTTTCGAATATCTCAATTCGAGAACCAAAATACAGAGTTAAAAACTAGTGGACCTAATATGCTAACAACCCTAAGGTCTCGGTGGCTTAACTTTAACTTACCCTAAAAATATAATATAAATCCTAATTTTAATCTAAACCTAAACACATAGCCGCTCAACCTCTCCATCTCCTCTCTTCCACGCACGGCGCTGCATCTTCCCCTTCTACTCACTCTCGACCTCCTTCTTCGATAGCCACCGACGAGAGCCTAAACCCAAAGCCTCCCTCTGCTCACCGACCACCGCTAAGGAGCTGAAACAAACCCCCACTTAAATATCTATTTTTTCTCATCTCTCAATCTACTCTCATCCTTAAACGAGACCCTAAGGGTTCACCACTACTACTCACGACTGAAGATCGACGCTCCCTGCTTCGACGACAGACTAATGACAAGGTAAGCCCCTAATCCTAACCCAAACGCATCTAAATGCTTGATGCCTTGCTAGTTTTTTATTTGCTCCGATCTAAGCCTCTAGAACCCGACGACTCTAGTCTACCGCTCCTAAAACTCAGGCGAGGCTCACCTCCACCCTTGGCTCCATTTCACTCGGCGAAGACAGGATCAGAAAGGTAACAAACTAACTCTTTCTTCTATCAAATCTTTTACTTAAGTTAGAAATAAGAAAACCCACAAAAAACTGGAAATTGAAATAAGAATAGAAAGTACCAAACAAAATAGTTCCCTTCTTTCGATTGCTTCCTTGATTTATCAATACAATCCTCAATGAAATTCCTGTTACAATGGTTATTTATTTTTGGTTTTTCCGTTTCATCTTCTCTTGTTCCCACTAATCTTGATGAACCTCCCTTTACTGTTGAAAAAAACCAAGTCCTTCCTGTGTTGGTTGCTCTTTTTCCTGGTTATTTTCCCCCTTTTTTCGTGTCTTCATTCCGTCCCCCCCTGTTGTGATGAATACCATCTTTTGTTCTTGATGAAACACTCTCCCCAATGGCCTCCTTGTTTGCTGTGTTGCAGGGTATGGGCGCCAATGGTGTTGTCGATGGTGTTGTCGGGCGTGGGTGATGGCCTCGAGGGGCTTCTCGTGGGGTGCTCGAGCTGCTCGAGAGGCGTGGATCTGCTGGATGCTGTCGGCTCGTGAATAGGGCATGTGGGGAGCAGGATTCACGTGGGTAATTTGGTTGTGTAATTCATGTGGGAGACATGGATGCTACAACTGGTCCGGGTTGTATCCGAGTCAAACTTTGAACCTGCTCTGTTTTGTGGGCTCGGGTCTGTGCTTGTAATTAATTCGGGTTGTAATTGGGCTACAAATATTTATAATCTATTTTGGGCTTGTAAATGGACTTTAGACACTTAATTAGGAATTTGGGATTGAATTTCAATTTGTGCCTCGGTTTTCAAAATGAACACATACGATTTTAGCCCAATTAAGCATCTTAAGCTTTCAAACACGAACTTCTTGAATTAATTCTTCATCGAGCACGAACATCTCCAACTTAATGTCTGGTCATCTTCAAATGGATTTAAAAGGTCCGAATAAAATTAGGGTATTACAACTGTCACTCTTTGCTCGTTGTTAACACAAAAATGTAGCAAAGACAAAAAATAACCTAATTTTATCTGACAACGATGTCTTCTTCCCTTTTTCAGTCTTTTTCTTGACTTTTGCCTCTATCTCATGTGTACCAACCCGAGAATCTTGGTGAAAAAAATATTCTAAAAAGGCTAAAAATGGCTCGGATGACTTATTATCTTGGTGAAAAACATCCTGCCCGAAGGTCTTATGGATGACTCGAAGGATTTATCATCACGCTCGAAAGACTTACTGATGAATTTGCTTCACTACTCTTCTGTGAAGGCTTAAAAATTACTCGAAGGATTTAATCATCACGCTCGAAAGACTTACTAATGGCACTCTAATGGATTTGCTTCACTACTCTTTGGTGAAGACTTATAAATTACCCGAAGGATTTAATCATCATGCTCGAAAGACTTACTGATGGCCCGAAGGACTTACTAAGTGTGAAATTTTTGAAATCGTCTTCTTAGTTTTAAAAAATTTCAACTTCTTAAAACATCATTTTTTCATTTTTCAAATTCATGTGAAAACATCCTACCTGAAGGTCTTATGGATGGCCCGAAGGACTTATCATCTTGCTCTAAAGACTTACAGATGACCCAAAAGATTTACTCATCATGCTCGAAAGACTTATTGATGGCCCGAAGGACTTACTAAGTGAAAGTTTGAAAATCCCCTTCTTAGTTTTCAAAAATTTCATCATCTTAAAACATCATTTTCTCATTTTTAAATTCATGTGAAAACATCCTACCCGAAGGTCTTATGGACGGCCCAAAGGACTTAATCTTGCTCTAAAGGCTTATAGATGACCTGAAGGATTTAAACATCATGCTCGAAAGACTTATTGATGGCCCGAAGGACTTACTAAGTGAAACTTTGAAAATTGCCTTCTTAGTTTTCAAAAATTTCATCATTTTTTCAATTTCAAATTTATGTGAAAACATCCTACCCTAAGGTCTTATGGACGGCCCGAAAGACTTATCATCTTGCTTTAAAGGCTTACAGATGACTCAAAGGATTTAATCATCATGCTCGAAAGACTTATTGATGGCTCGAAGGACTTACTAAGTTGTGAAATTTTGAAAATCGCATTTTTAGCTTTCAAAAATTTCATCTTCTTAAAACATCATTTTTCATTTTCAA